TGTGTGAGAAGATCCAGCTGAGAGAGCTGTTTACTCAGTGCTTTGTTAATTCAGCTTTTGCAGCATCTATTCCATTTTCATTTCAGATTTCCAGCACTTTGCTTTTTTATTTATCCTTTTCGTTGCATTTACTCACAACACTGGACTAAAATCCCAAAGCTCGGAAACACTTGGTCAAGATTAGACAGCATTCCTAAAGCACAAGAATCACCTGGTCTGAACGGGACATGGAGCACATTAAATTCTAAGGGAAAACCTTTGGTCCTTCCGTCTGCTGCCGAGATTTCTGGACTTTGACAGGTCTGTAAATGGCAGTCTGCTTTTAGAATTTAATCTGGCATGTCTTTCATACAGTGAAAAAACTACAACAGAAATAAAGCCCGGCATCCTGTGCTGGAATTCCTTCAATTGTATTCCATCAGTCATTGAGTCTATATATAGTATGTGCTATTGAGAAAGCAAGCCAAGAGAGTGTACTTTTGGTTAAGGAGGCTTTACTTCACGTCGCTTGTCCTCACCTTCTGCACCCCTCACCAACCTGCTCAGTTATTTGTGGAGAAACTATCCTTATCACTGACAGCCAGTTTCCCCCGCTATAAATGTTTAGCCCAAATTCACTTCATCTCAGCTCATCTGCTTTTGAAATCCTCATTCACATTTTTTTTGTTCTCAACTCAACTATTCCACTTGCTTGCAGCTGTTCTCCCACATTCTAAACTCTGTCAACTTGACAGCATCCAAAACTCTGCTGCGTGTCTTGATTTGCAGCAAGTCCCATATCATGTATCACCCATGTGGTCACTGACTGATGTCTGGTCAAGTAGTGTCTTGATTTCAAAATTCTATCTTTCTAAGCTCCTCCAATTCCTACAACTCTTTCCATCTCTAACCTCCTCCAACCTCTACCCGACATGATGTCTGCTGTCTTCTAATTCTGACCTTGTGTACATTCCCAATGACAACGTTGTTAAACTTGAAAGAGTTCAGAAAAGATTTACAAGAATATTGCCAGGGTTGGAGGGTTTGAGCTATAGGCAAGGCTGAATAGGCTGGGGCTATTTTCCCTGGAATGTCAGTGGCTCGGGGTGACCTTATAAATCATAGAGGCATGGATAGGGTGAATAGTCAAGGTCTTTTTCCCCAGGGTAGGGATGTCCAAAACTAGAAGTTCAAGGTGAGAGGGCAAGATTTAAAAGGGACCTGAGGAACAACTATTTCATGCAGAGATGGTATGTATATTGAATGAGCTGCCAGAGGAAGTGGTGGGGGTTGGTACAATTACAACATTTAAAAGGTATCTGGATGGGTATATGAATAGGAAGGGTTTAGAGGGATGTGGGCCAAATGCTGGCAAATGGAACTAGATTAATTTAAGATATCTGGTCGGTGCGAATGGTTGACTTTTGTGACTGATGGTCATTCAGTTCCTCAGCCAGTGAAATCAGATCTGCCTCATCAGCTAACTGTGCGGAGGAGCAGTTGGAGGTAGATGTCTTCAGGTACAATGGCATCTGATTGTTCAAGTGCAGTGTGTACAATTGAGGTGACATTTTCTGTGTTGTATATCTCTATGACTATGCAAGGGGAATCACCCGGTCTGAAGTGGAGAGAGCTCACAGAACTAGAAAAAAGGGCAAGTCCCTTGAAGCATGATACTGTTCCATGTGGTGTGGAAAATGGATACTGCCCAAAATCTTTAATGCACGGTACATCAGAGGTTAGATAAACATGACAAACCACAGTATACAAAGGGAATAACCAAAACATGTCAATTTTATGGAAAGAAAAATAAATTATATACAGTATTTACAATATGATCCACATATATATATTCTATCATGAAAATTACTACAGATCAAGAAAGAAAACTTCAGTCTATTTCAATTTTGTCTGTTTCTGCACAATATTACTCCGATAATCTTTAAAGCACTGAGTCTTCTTAAGGCATGCCAATGAATTGTTGGCTGTTCATTTGGCATCTGCTGGTTCCTGAGGTGACGTTGCCTCTCTGGAGAATGTTGTTGTTGCCAATTTGTTGGTAAATGGTTGACCTTTGTGACTGATGGTCATTCAGTTCCTCAGTCAATGAAATCAGACCTGCCTCGTCAGCTAACTGTGTGACGGAGGAGCTTCTCCAAGTGGAAATAGATGTCTTCAGGTACAATGGTGCATCTGATTGTTCAAGTGCAGTGTGTACAATTGAGGTGACAGTTTCAGAACACAGGTCCCTAGTACCTAAGTGACCTCTCATTTGTTGAGTGTATTGAATGTTGGCACTCCAAGTAGCTCCCAACATGCAATTCAAACAACTATTTGGCAGTCCTGCTGAAAAGAAATTTAGCTAATTACCACTTTGATCATGTTACACTGTTTAAAATCAATTGGGATTTGGTGTTCCTGGCTAGTCCATAATTTATTGCTGAGAGAGCAGTTGACAGTCAACCAATTGCTCTGTAAATCTGGAGTCACACATAGGTCAGACCAGGTAAAGATGGCAAATGTGTCAATGAACTGCAGGGCGCGGTGGGGGGTGAAGTTCATGACAATTGTTGCATGATTATCATTTAGACTAGTTTTTCTTTATTCTAGATATTTACTGAATTCAGATTTCATCATCTACCATGAGAATCAAACCCTTGTCACCAGAATATGTTCTCGATTATGAGTGACAGAACCATTATGCCACTGTCTCCACTGTCAATACTCTGATCTCAATGGATTTTTAGTTATTGAGTATTGTGGGTGCATTGTGACATTTGTCGCCAGACTAAACAACTTTCCCTGCCTTCAGGCAGTGTGTTTCCTCCCCTCAGATTGCACTGTACACATCTGTGCTGAATCAAGAGGATTTTTTTGACAATCCTTTGGCAATTTTCACCTTGGTCTCAGCCTTTCCATTTGACTGGGGTTGTGTGGAGATGATGTGTGGTCCTGGATTTTCCAATCATTCATGAAGTGTCTGAATTCTTCACTCATGAACTGAGGTCATTGTCACTCATCACAATGTCAGGAATGTCATGTGCTTTCAGATATTCTACAATCTCACTGTCGCCAACATCAGCTGCTCTAACTCCCTGCTGCCTGAATAATCACCAACTGTGACAAGAAAATCAGTTCCACTGTCAATGAAGAGCTGTACTCCGTGCTTCATCCATGGGCTGTCTGGGAATGTCACGAGTCATGAGCAGCTCTTTAAATTGTTTAGTTTGATGTTCATTACAAGCGCTGCATTGGCTGATGTGGTCCTTCATCTCATTGCTCACGTTTGGTCAGTAGATGACTACTCTTTCTTTCCTCAGACTTGACTTAATTCCTTAGTGGTTTGTATGGGATTTGCTTCAGCATCTCTTTGGAATAATGACCCTGCTTCCTTTGTATAAAATACCACCTTGGGTGATCACTTCATCCCTGTCCAATACTCAGTCACAGGGGTGTCTCTGATGGTTTCAGGCCATCTTTTCATCACAACTTCCGGTAACATTTGAAGAGTTGCATTTCATTGTGTAGTTTCCATAATCTGAGGAAAATGTTTGTATGTCAGACTCAATGTCTCTGCTGAGCTGATGATCTCAGAGCATTTCATACAGTTGCTGGATAAATTTGGAAGGTTCCATACTCTCGCAGCATCAACTTCCTTCAGAGAGAGTACAGCTCCCAACAGCATGTTGGTGACATACATCTGCTTCCCTTGCTTGTATATCTTGTGTGAATGCATTGATGTTTATGAAAGTTTCATGAACCTGAGAATGATTTGTCACATACCTCAGAAATTAAATGATTTCCCCCCTGTGACTACATTGGTGTTCACAGAGTTTCAACGATGTTGAAAATGATATGTCACAAACCTTGCACTTGAACAGCTTCTCCCGAGTGTGGTTGCGTTGGTGTGTGCGGAGGTTCCCTGACCGTGAAAATGATTTGTCACACATCTCACAAGTGTACGGTGTCTCCCCTGTGTGAGTGCGTTGATGTTCACGGAGGCCTGTTGACCGTGAGAATGATTTATCACAAATCTTGCACACAAATGGCTTTTCCCCTGTGTGAATCTGCTGGTGCCTGCGGAGAGCAGATGACACTGAGAATGATTTGTCACACACTTTGCACATGTACGGTTTCTCCCCTGTGTGAACACGTTGGTGTGTGTGGAGACCTGATGACTGCGAGAATGATTTATTACAAACCTGACATGTGAATGGTTTTTCTCCTGTGTGAAACCTCTGGTGGGTCAGGAGGTGGGAGGATTGGGTGAAAGCCGCCTGACATACCTGACACCTGAATGGTTTCTCCCCTGTGTGAATTCTCTGGTGTATCAGGAGATGAGTAGATTTCACAAAAGCTTTGTCACAAACCTCACACTTGAAGCGTTTCTCTTCCATGATGTTGTCCTTTCATTAACAGGTATACCACAAATGCATTGTTATTAAAAGAATTGTAGGACACTTTGATGTTTGATGAATGAATGAAGCTCTCACCACACTTGGAGCCACTCACACTTCTTCCCAGTCTCTCCCTGACCGATCACCCTCAGCCAAACCTTCAGAAAGGTTGGCTCTGATGGAAGGCTCCACACCACTGACCAGTTTCAGATCTGATGATAAGTCAAACCTCCCTGATCTGACCGATTTCCAGATGATGGTTTCACTGCCATGCTGTGAAGGGACTGGATGTCCTTCCAGCGTTGTACAATTGTTCCTTCTGTGATGGTCGAGCATCTATCTGAAATATCTATCCACTCTGTATTCTTTGGTTAGAACGGTGCAATCCTTCTGTAAAACAGGAAAAGAAAACATGATTTCCTCCAACTCCCTCTACTCCTTTTCTGAAGGGGCTGACTCCTCAGTTAGAAACTGTTCCATAGTGAGTGCTATTCCCCTTTCTTTTTTCCTCACTTGACTGTCACACACTCCGGTCCCAACTGGGACAGTGGATAGTGACCAGGAACAGACAGTGTAACTCCTTTCTTTCCACCACCCAGACCCCATCTTCCCAGCCACCGTGAGGGCAATTAAAAAGACAGTCAGGTGGAGTGTAAAATGGGTTGTCAATTCACTATGAGCTTAAGTTGTGCTGGCAAAGGCCATATTTACCTGTAAAGTTATTAACATGTTATCATCTAGAACAGTTTAAAGCTTATTACATAATTGGAAAAATTATAAAATAAACCACACCAAACAATCTAAGTGGAGCACAGAGTTTAAAAGATCTTAAACACACAACAAAGTTTTCACTTACTCCATAAACCATCACTTTACAGACCCAAATCCAGAGAGGTCTGCCTCAAATCTTCTCATGTAATTCAGCTGACTTTTCTCAGTTCTTTCTTCTGAACTTTGAATTCTTCTTACTTCAGTGCCCATAAAACTGCAAGCTTTGAACCAACCACTCCTGGTCTGTAATTTACTGAAACTGACTTTCTGGTCAGGGAATTTATTCCCTGTACTTTTCAAAGTCTTTTCAAAACTGCTTGAAAACTTCAATATTTGAGTTTCCTAAGCCCTGATTATACTAAGTCAAAAACAAACTGATGGCTCTTAATGTTTACGCTTCCAGTCCTAAATGCTGCACAGTACCAACAGCTTACTGTTAACAGTACAGCAGTTCCCTGCTCTGTTATACATATTGGATGAGATCATGGTTCTGGAAGGATTGACTGACACTTTTTTTTTAATAACCTTTCACAAAAGTAACAACCATCCATTTGCCATAAGCTTGAAATCAAATTTCAAAAAGTTATATGAGAAATTTGATAAACAAATTTCATCACAACTGGAAAATGGCATTGAGGGAGGTGATCAGCTAACATGAATGAGTATGCTGCAGCAGGCTTGAGCTAATTGCTGAATAGTCCTATGCAAATGTTCCTATTCCACACCAAAGTTGTAGAGGTTTGAAACTTAACAAATGAAACAAATGCCAAATCAATGGTTAATATTAAATTTGAGATTTTTCTTCTTCAAGTGTTAAATGGATAGGGGAAGGGCAGGAATATGGAGTCAGGTGACAGATGTACCATGATCTCACGGAATGGTGGTACATGCCCTATACACTAAATGGCTAACTCCTATTCCTGTGCACTGAGCCGAGTAACGAGGCAAGACTCCCTCAGCACGGCCGCTCCTGCAAGACAACGTTGTGTCCAATGAACTGAATAAATCACAGCCCACAGGATAATAACCAGCTCCCAACACACACACACAGAACTGAACAATAGGAAATCAGTAAGAATCCTCAGACACTCTGCACCTCCCAGATAATTACACCTCAGCTTCTCAAATTCAGGAATTAGCCATCAACAAAACTCAGCCTGGAAATCAGAGGGAAATACTTCCAATAAACACACTCAATATCCAACACACAGCTCCAGTCAAATAGTTCAGCACAAAGCACCGAGTAAACAGCTCTCTCAGCTGGATCTTCTCACACAGCATAAGGGACATTTCCA